TACTCTTCCACGCAAAAATCTGAAATGTGCTAGTCTTCCACGCAAAAATCTGAAATGTACTAGTCTTCCACGCAAATAACGAAATGTGCTACTCTTCCACGCAAAAATCTGAAATGTGCTACTTTTCGACGCGAATAATGAAATGTGCTAGTCTTCCACGCTAATAGTGAAATGTGCTAGTCTTCCACGCGAATAGTGAAATGTGCTACTCTTCGTAGGGACCGACGATATGTACGAAAGCTTGCGTTGTTTCACCGCAGTTCTTTTTATACCCGAGCGCACTTGTGCACAAGGGTATTATAACTTTGTTCACATAACGGTTGTTTGTAACAGGCAAAACGAATCGAGATAGATATAGACAAATGTATACATAAATGATCAGAATGAAAGGAGAAATCGATTAAGCGGTGACTGTCTGTCCGTCCGTCTGTGCACACGATAACTCGAGTAAAAATTGAGATATCTTAACGAAACTTGGTATATGAACTTCTTTTGGGCGTAGGACGGACGGTATTGAAAATGGGCGAAATCGGACAATAACCACGCCTACCTCCCATATAACGGTAATTTTAAGAAATACGAAAACTGCGATATTTTAGTAACTACTGAAGATAATTCACTCAAAATTGATACTTACAATGAGTTTCGGACGGAAAATATGAATTTTATAAATTTTTTTAAAATGGCCGTAGCCACGCCCACTTATGGTTACATGTGTATATCTTGGTAACCGCTACACCAATTTCTTCCAAACTTGGCACAGTTGTTGGCCTTAGTACAGCATACTAAATGGCTAAAAATTTAAAAAATCGGACAATAACCACGCCTACCTCCCATATAACGGTAATTTTCAGAAAACGAAAACTGCGATATTTTAGTAACTACTGAAGATAATTCACTCAAAATTGATATTTGCAATGAGTTTTAGACGACAAATAAGAATATTACAAAATTTTGGCAAATGGGCGTAGCCACGCCCACTTATGGTTACATGTGTATATCTTGGTAACCGCTATACCAATTTCTTCCAAACTTGGCACAGATGTTGATCCTGGTACAGCATACCAAATGGCCGAAAATTTCTAAAATCGGACAATAACTACGCCCACATCCCATATAACGGTAATTTCGAGAAATACAAAATCTTCGATAAATCAGTAAATATTGAAGCTAATTTATCCAAAATTGATGGTTGCAACAATTCTTTAGCAAGAAATACGTTTATGACAAATTTTTGGAAAATGGGCGTAGCACCGCCCACTTGTGATCACATATATGTATCTCGCTAACCGTTCTAGCAATTTGTACCAAGCTCTGTATGGTTATTGTGCTTGCCACATTAAAGCAAACCGTTGAAAATTGTTGAAATCGGACTAAAATTGAGGCCGCTTTTCATATAACGGTAAATTTCAGAAATGCTTGAAATTTCAATATTTCGAAATTTAAGGACGCTAATTTACTTAAAATGTATACACCCCGGCTTATCATGTAGCGGTAGCTTTCGGAAAGGTGGAAAACATATATTTAATACTTGCGCCGGGTATTTAATGTTCGGCTCCGCCCGAACTTAGACTTTCTTACTTGTTTGTTTTAGCACTCAGTTTAAACATGGTTTCTTGTATTGTTTTCGATTAGTGATCTATGTTAAACCTAAACAACTGATGAATAATTCGCGTTTGATATCTAGAGGTTCCTCACATCTAACATATCAAAAATTGTGTCAGAATTTTGACTCGTCTTAGATGCATTGATATCCTATACGGTATGCCAACCAGACAGATCAATATGGCCTATTAACCAGCGGATGCATGGAAGTCGCTTGTTGGGCATCGAAGAGCTGCTGTGTTCGTCAACCAACACATTGATCTCAAAAGCCCTGTCTTAGCGTAACACAAAAAGCGTTCCCCCGTCTCTTTTTCTTCAATTCGGAAAGGTCATGCAGGCTTAACACAAGTTGTCTATAGTTCCATCGGCATTATTGAGTACAGATACCTATATAGGTAGACCTTCTGAGCTGCGGATTACTTGCGATTCGACAACCTGGAGCCACACGATGCCTCATTTTCCGACGACGACGACCATTCCTAAAGGAGAGAGTAAATAATCTGTCTCGCACTCCCTGGGCTAAATAAACGTGCTACGTCAGCCAACAAAATGAAGCTGTTACTTGTTTTGCTACTTATGCTAGTTTTCAAGCAATTGAGAGCCTGGGCAACGCAATGACCTGCTGCGTAAACTTATTTATAATGTTTCACCTATGCTCTAGAGTGATCCATTGACTTAAGAAAAACATACATCTACTTTAGAATAGTATGGTATATTATGCAAGTGAGGAGTGAAGCTTGCTCATATTAAAGTCGATCTAATTTTCAGATCCTGAATTAATTTTCAGCACGCAGACTAAAGTCGTTTAAAAGCAGACTAGACCTTTCTTGCGGTTATTTTTGGTAATTTTCGAAAGTTCTATTGTCCCTAGAAGTCGCTGATAGAAGTCTATCATTGACTCTGTTAAAACTCAACGTAGAATGACGATTTCACTCTGAATGCCTTTGTAAAATTGGATCTGGTTTGTGATGACTAAATCCACGATGGTCGTAGTTCTACTTGTGGCCAATCCAGCAGGTACGAAACAATCAAGCCGACACAGCCTCGGGATCCCATAGCAGCCTGTAGAAAATTAGCAAAGTCCAATGAATAGTATCTGTCTTAATGCAATACTGCTATAAGACTAAACACAATACGAAGCTGGTCACGATACTACATCTGCGGCAGCCCAATTATGATTGAAATCGCTGACCTACCAACAAAAAGAAAACAGACTTCCAATCTGGACCACCTACGTAAAATTCCTGACTTGAATGGCTGCTAGAAATATGTGGAAATGGGAAAAAGTCAGTGAGTACGGGTCCGTCCACATATAAATGGATAGATCCAAGCTGAACTGAAGGTTTGGAGATCAAAAACATAAATTTCACTAACAAATTATACGCACAATGACCGTAAGAACTACAATAAATGTACAATAAATATTTAATTTTGACTTAAAGACTCACCGAGGAGTCCTCTGGTAACATCACCTTATTTGATTTCACCTTGGATGCGCCATTTTGTCTAGGTTATAAGTCATAGCAGATACTCGAGAAGATTGTGATAAATGAGCTCGCTCGTCAGGGCCGTCACTACCCTTGCTGTTAGAAACATCATTCATACACGAGGTATTCCAACTAAAGTTTGTTAAAGTTAATTGTCCACTATTACAGAAGAACGGTAGCTTAGGGAACCCACCTGCCAAATAACTGGGCTACGGACATTCCTACTAGAGGTGGGGCTCAAACGCTATGCAAATACTTGAGTAGTCCACTTGCAAAGTGCGCTATGTAAATTTTATTTAGATTTTTAGTTTTTTGTGGTTAACGTACCAGTATTTAAAGTAGTTTCATGTCCACTAACAATACAGTGCAAAATCCTTATATGTTCTGAAAAACATAGCATCAAATGTTAGCTACTCTAGCAAAAGTGGCTATAATACTTACTGTATGTATATATACATTTACAAAAGTCGCTATAATATTTATTGTACGTATTTATACAAGTTCATGTTATTAGGCTCTTATTTGTCCAAATTTTCAGATAATAAAAAGAAACATACAGTTTGGATGTTACTTGTTGTTTTAGACGTTTTTTTTTTAATTTATGGCTTACTATTATAAAATCACATAACGCTGTTTGCAAGTGGACTACTCGCTTCTTCAGAGCCTAGGTATTCCCTGAATGGAAGACTTCATCAACCTATGTAGGTCTCCAAAAGCAGAATTATAGGTTGGCTATGGCCATTTGAGATCAGTTGTAAGACATAATAGTCTAACCTCCGATTAGGCCGATATTGAAAAGATATTCTTCAACAAAAATTTGATTTTAAGTTACCTCTGCGGCTTTGAAACAATTTTAAGTATTTTTTCAAGGCTATTTGGAAAAAAATTCGAATTCTAGGGTCGCTTTTTAAATTTTTTGGTTAAATCTACATTAACCAATTTTCTTTAAATAGTTCTACTGGACTTTGGGACAAAAAAAAACATAGCGTCTCGAGGCAAAAACATCAATATATCATATTTTAAGAGCCGATGATGCATCGTCATGATGTGACGAACAAAAAATTTAAAAGTGTTCGGCCAAAGAAAAACCACAATTTTTTTGAAACTACCTTTTAACAAGTAATTTTTAAGCAAAAAGCAAAACCGACTTCAATTCTCATATAAAAGTTTAAGAGTACCGTTAATTTCTTCATGATCCAAATATCGGATCCGCGCCAAATTAGTATGGGACCACCTTTCCTTAAAAAAGAAATAATTATAGAAATCGTTTAACGTGGTCTAAAGTTATGCGGTAGCATATCGTCGCCTGGCTAAAAGGTTGTCGTATGTTACGCACGTACGTATGACGCTTATGACAATCTTTTACCCAGGCGATGATATGTACATAAAAAAAATATTCAAAAAATACCTCACCCTTTTTTCAAGTCGGTTAAAAAAATTTAAACTCAGAAGTGGCGGCGAATTTGTTTACTTCATGTGCGTCTTAAAGGAGAATTTCATACATATATACGTATGTATGTATGTGTTTATGTACAAGAGCACATCTTCCTCCACTCCAGTGCCTTTGAAAGTGTTTATTAACACCACCCATCGCCATGCTCCCCTAGCAACATGTTGCGCGTGAACAGCTATCAAACATGTTGCATGACGAACAAGTGCACGACCAAACGAACCTCCCCAAAACAATATGAGCAAAACAACACGATAGCAGCCAGTGGAGCGCCAGCGTCGACGCCAGCGTCAGCAACAGCAGCTGCAACAACAGCTCCACCAACTTGCCGAGCGCCATTGACGACTGGCGTTCGCTGCTGGCTGTGCTTTTACATTGCGCTGCTTTTGCTTCTGCCTTTGCCTTGCTTTGCTTTACTAGTGGCTGCCTTTTTGGCTTGGCGCTGCTTGGTTACCTTTGGGGGCGCGCATGCAGTCCAGTCTTCGTTACGCCGTTATCCGCGTTGGTTGGTCGTTAGAATTAAATTCGCAATCGTGATTGTTGTCGTAGGTAAGCAGCATGGTGCTGGCTCCTCGAGTTTAGTGAGTTTTGTGTTTTTCTCTGTGGCCATTGCTGCCGATATTTTTTAATGCAATAGATGGAGACAGGTGCGCGTCTAACAAAATCGACAAATAAAAGAAGCATCAAATCAAGTAAAGCAATTTGTTGCGAAAAACGAGAAAATTTATAAAAATTAAACAAATCTATAAAGTGTTAAGGAGCTGTGGATTTTACTCAACGATTTGTTATTATTATTTTAATTTTGGCATTCTTTGTCGAATTGCATTGTCTCGCATTTCGCGTGTTAATTTTTTTTGCCTTTCTTTTCCTGCGCAACAACGACGACGTGCCAGTGAGCTGTGCGTAGTGATTTATGCGAAATTTGTTTGTGTGTGAAGCAGCAGCAGACAGCCGCTTTTGTGCGAAAGTTGTTTGTCAGTTGGCGTATGAATTGCTCGATTGAGTGTAAACAAAAAGAAATTTTTAAAAAAAGAAATATTGTGCGAAAAAATTTACTTAAAATTTTGTGAATATTATTGTTGCTATTGAATTCGCGTATTGGAACGTATCGTACCAAAAGACGCGTACGGTGAGTTAATAAGAGAAAAGAGCGAAATTACAATTACAAAAAGCCGGAAAGCGTTGTACATTCTTTGTGACTGACTGCTGTTGCTTTTTGCTGTCTGTGACGCGAATTTGTGGGAGAAAACGTGCAAAGCGGCTTGCGGAAAAGCGGCCCAAAACAAAAAGCCCAAAAAGTATGTATGCAAATTAAGTTTTTATCACCAAATGAGTGTTTATAGAATATGTAAATATTTTAAAATTTTGGTAAAAATTGAAATTTAAGAATTATGGTAATGAACAAATTATAACTTCGCTGTGGAGTTTTGTACGAATTTTAAGGGTATTTTTTCTACAGTAAAGAAGTTAGAAGGAATAACGAAAAGAAAAGGAAAAAAAGAAAAAAATCTCACCTAACAATAATAAACAGTCAGCGAACAAGTAGAAGCGTGTATTCAATAAATATCTAAATACATAGATACAAAGAAGCCAAGCGCATAGAAGTAAAACCGGCTTCGACTGTGGCATTTGAATAATTTTAAATTCTACAAAAGGTCTAAACCATCTTCGCAAAAAAAAAAATCGGTTATGTGTTGCTATACTTTTGGTGGCAGTGTATTTAAATCTACGGCAAATATTTACCGCGAATCCGGATATATGTATTTTTTTTTTTTAAGCGGATGAACAATCCAATTTATTTACGTATGACAGCAATGTTTTTGGTGGAAGCGTAGGTTTCATTTTTAGGTAACAAAACATCGTAGTTTTCTAAAATAGATTGGTAATTAATAAAACGACTCTGAAGATGAGTTATGTTCGAAACGATGGGTGAAATATTTGTAGAATGCAATTCTAAAGGAATCCTCAACGCTTCCCGTATCGACGTCACATCTATTTTTTGGAATTTTTGATGCGTTTTTGCTTGATATCGATGTCGTATTCTTTGCATACTCCGCTCACATTTTCGAAAACTTCGTGAAAATTACTTTGCACTTTGTACCATCTCTTGAAATTCCTGAATAGTCTCCTCCGAAATTTTCAAAGCCTCGGAAATTTTTTGCGTTCTGATTGCAATTGCTTACTCAAAGGAAAAAGGATGGAGTACACTGACTGCATTATTTTGTAAGACATTTAAAATTCCAAAAAGCAGTCAGGAACTGGGAGTTTCGTGTTGCTGAATTGTCGTTTTTCCATACTCGGCATTCACGGTTGTGTTAATACTATGTGGAGCACACTTGGGCTCTGTTTATTTCACCACATCATATCTTTTGCTATAAAAGTACGAGCAATCTATACCAATTCCAAAAGCTACTTCTTGATAGTTCTTGATAAGTTTCCTCAAATCAAATAGCTGATAAACCACCAACTTTTTCGTCCTTTAGTTTGACTTGAGTAGCTCAACGACGACTTAACTTCGTCAAGCACCGTGATGTTGTTGCGACAAGCGTTTAATGCTCTATTCGCTGTTGAGTTGTACCTCCCGACCTTCCAAAAATTCTTACTTTCAGCAAGTTGCCGATTTAATTTACGAGTATGAAGATTTAAAAATTATATCACCAAAGGTGTTTTATTGAGGTCAGCGCCTGATAGAGGAGTTTTAAAATTTTAGTATTTAGTATTGGATAGATAACGCGGAATTTTTAATAGATGCTGGTCCAGCAGTTGAAAATGAAGTGCCAATAATCCTACTGTTCAGTTCAATGAGGTCCATGGCAGGACATTCATCAATCGGTTCTGCAATGGAGAAAACACCGTTCCGAAGAATGTGTTCCCAAAATAATTGGCGGTAGTAAGCTTGGCGATAGGAGTTGTTGTTTTTGTTGCAGCGAAATTACTAAGCCCCGCCTAGGTCGGTTTGTTCATCAGTCGTTGTAGTCAATCTCAACTAATGGTAATTCCAAGAAACGAGCTTTTTCGAAGGGGTCGAACCAAAGAGAGAGGGGTGTCGGCTGAGTGGGATTGAGATTAAATGTGAAAAGCTGGTTGGTGTCATGACGGAGTTCCCCAAATTCTGGACACTCATTGGGAATATTGAGGGTTGAGTGGAGAAAAGTAGCTGTTATAATATCCTGACCGTAATTGGGCTAGAGTAACGCGGATCTATCATGGTAGTCCAAGCTCAGAGTCTGCAATAGGTGGAAATTGGGCTCCTATCAAGGCATTCATAGGTCGAGAGTCGTGGTAGGTGGTGACCGACTCACCATGAATTGGTCAGTTGAAATCTGGACCGCGTCCATGTACTCGAAAAGATGCCTTCTGACGTGCCTGGGTGGAAGCTCTTCCTCAAGCAGATGTTTGTTGGTTTGTTTACGCCTGTGAGCGCCCACCAGAAACTGCTTGCTGAGTATTTTGAGGTGAATAGTTCACAATCGGTCAGCCAAATACCTTGTTTTGTTGGGGAGAGGATTCGAAGAAGTGTCTTCTGATGATTTGCATTGAGTACCTACTAAAACGACAGATAGCCAATTCATCCGAATTGGTCCCACTTTGCGCCACACGAAATTTCCCAGCCATTCGCTTTTAGAAGAATATCTTTGCTTTAGTCTGCTCTATGCATACTGTTTCTCGGAAATGTAATACCTCTGGGTATTTGCGACATTCAAACGGTACTTTAATAATATCACTGCTTGTTTCCCGATTTAAGCTACTTAAGAAGTGCAACATAGAGCTTTCTATTTCTAAATAATTTTCTTCTTTTTTGTCGCTGAATCCGAATTGGGAGTCCCATAATTCTTCAAAGTCATCTCGAGGTCATGCCAAGGTCAAATTCAGAAGAATTGAATTTCCCTACTTGACCTTAAAATAACCATGAACCTGACGTGATGGAGGCTAACAGACCTCGGATTTGCACTCAGGGCAGAAACTTTTTTTTTGTAAACCTGTGTTATTATAGCAGGATAAAAATTTTTCAAGTCATCTGTAACTATTATTCGAAGACTTTCGAGGGCAAGTTTTGTGGGAGCAAGGTACATATTAGGGCTGTTCAGGATCTTGTGTTTATGCATATTCGTTACAATTGTAAATTCACAACAATAAAAGGTTGCCATGGCAGCAAGAATAAAATTTGCAAATGCAATTCCAACTGCAAATCCAAGACCGCTTCCTCAACATCCTGAACAGCCCTATTGTTTACCAACTTTGCCGCCATACTGATTGCATAGATTATCTCAGTCTGGCAAACACTACAGTAGCCTAAAGGAATCTGAGGCTCAATTTCAGATTGTCGTGAGGGATCGTATTCTTTTACTTCAGACAGAAATGTAGAAACTCATTGTAAAGGCAGTAGGTGAATTCTTTATTTGTACTTTTATTGGAGCTCCAAAATTTAGAGTGTGCAAAAAATTTTTGTGAAAATGAGTCGTCTTATTATTTCCATGCGAACCGATTGGCTTTAAATTATTTCATAAGCTTATTGAGAATTGAAGACATATGCGTTAGGCGAAAGATATAATAACTCGCCTGATATGCTGTAGTACTTTTACTTGACCATTTGCATTACTCTCTTTGGGCGGCTAATTATGCTGAGAGTTAAAGAAGGGTGTTATATTAACTGTATCCTCTTAAATAAAGTATTATGGAACTCTCGTATAAAAAAAATTTATTGTAAGTAAACCACCTGAATTCAATATTAATATGTAATTAATTAATGCAAAACAACAACTACTTCTAGGCACAGCCAAATAAAGTCCGAAGCATAAAGTTTAGCTGAGATTTTTGTTAACAAAACAGTAATTAACTAATTGAGAGAGTAAATAAATAATGAAAACGAGGCATAAGCGACAGAGTGCGAGGCATAGCCAACGCACAAGCACAATAGGCAAGACATCCACAATGCGGTAGCAAAAACAACAATGGACGGCAGGTGCGTGTACACTTGTCACATTTTGAGTGTTGGCGACAGTAACAACAGAAACAACAAACAAAAAAAAACATGAAAAGCAAAGTAAAGAATATGTGTAAAGAGAATGGGAAAACCAGCAAATAATTTCTGTTTTTCCTTTGTAACCGAATTGCTTTAATGCTTCCGTTCTTCGTTGTTTTTGTGGTTTTTATTCTAGGCTAGCGTGTGACACTTCCTACCACTTCTGTGCTGCTTCCTGCTACCTTTCATAATTAAAACCACAGGCTTTTGCGTGAAGAGTGCTGTTGTGTAGACAAAAAATAGTAAATTTTTTTCAGTGTTTTTTTTACATTGTGTTTGCTTATTTATATTTATTATACATATACAATAGGGTGGTCCTTAAAAATATCAACATCATGGGTCAGCCCTTTATTTTTTTCTACGTACAAATTTTCATCGAATTTTCAACTTTTCTTAATTTTAATTTTGTTGTTTAAAATTTTCAACTTTTCGTGCATGCCTTTCTTTTGTGCGCAGAACAAATTAAAGCGGTGCCCATACAAAATTTAGACGCTGACATTTTTAAGTACCACCCTAATGTAATATTTTTTTTCCAGCATTCCGCTCGTCTTTTGCCGTTATTTAACACTTACTTTGTTCTCGCAAGTTTTTTGTTTTTGGCATTGTTTTGTTTTCTTTTTTGTGTGTGTTTTGCTTGCTGCTATGGCAGCACCTAATTTTGTTTTGTCCACACAGGATACAAAGAATAATGCCTCCATACAAAAAAAAAGATTTCACCCACATTTAAATTTGCTGCATAAAAATGTAGACATGCAAATGCCAGTAGAAAAGTCTTAAGTAAAAGGAAGCGACAAAAAATACATGTTGCCGGCGCTCAAAAACAAAAACTCAAAAGCTGGAAAAAGTCATTCATTTTTGTGTGTGGCGGCTGCCTACTTTTTTGCTTTTGTGATAGCGCCTGTTGGCGACAATTGTGTGATGGCAAAACACAAAATATGCTTCTAGACTTTTGTATGTAGTAAAGCTGTCTGTAAAATGGGCCAGAAGTGGGTGGAAAAAAATGTGACAAGTGACGGCATTCGTTGTTTATCGATTTGACTTTGTTGAAATTTTCTTTGATCATAGTAAATACTCCTCATTGAGTGGGTGAGGTGGACCTTACGCCTGTGTGTAGGCTTTGAAGTTGTTGACTTTTTTTAATTAGATTGCAGGATAACTTCTTGTTTCACTCCATTGAAACTTTTTTGAGCATTTTTTGTCGAAAGTGCATTTTTTTTTGTAAATTTATTTTGCATTTTGTTTTAGAATTTTTTCACCTTAACTTCGTCCATAACA